AGGAAGATGTTCCTAAGACGGCATTCCGTACGCGGTATGGCCATTATGAGTTTTTGGTGATGCCATTTGGGCTTACCAATGCACCGGCAGTCTTTATGGACTTGATGAACCGGATTTTCCGGGAGTTCTTAGACCGATTTGTGGTTGTTTTCGTGGACGATATCCTTATCTATTCGTCTTCTGAGGAGGAGCACGAGGCACACTTGAGGGTGGTGCTTGAGTTACTTAGAGCCCATAGGCTGTATGCCAAGACCATCTGTTGAATGCTATTGCTTTATTCATTGCTTATATGTGGTTTAGTATATTTCTGCTGGGCTGTGGCTCACCCTTTATGTGAACATCATTTTCAGGTTCAGGTGATAAACTACCTCCAAGGAATTAGCTTGGGAGGGTTTGGCTTCTGGATTGAAGAAGACTACTTTTAGTTAACTGTCTTAAATTATTAGTACATGTAAACATTCAAGCCTAGGGCTTTTCTTGTATTGAGTTAGAACTCATATTTTTGTATCCAAGTGTTGGCTTGGAAAGATGTAAGCCTGTAGGGCATTTTATTCGATGATACATGTAATGCTTTATTTTGTAATACTCTGATGAATGAATTAATAGATTGTCTTCTTTAAATAATGAATGTCAATGATATATATAATGGGGTAATTTTGAGGGCGTTACATTTGTAAAGTGGAAAAATTTGTTTACTATTGTTTAAAAATTATAATTTGTCTTATGTCATATAAAATAGATAATGGTTAGTTTTTGGAGTTAGAGTTGTGGTAGACATTAAAAGTGACCTAAAAACTAATTGATTCGACTTTTATGCCAACTTGACTTTACCTAATTATAAAAAATTTGTCTTAATCAATACCCAACTCATGAATTACTTGACTCGTTTACTTATTAAAGGTTAAATTACAAATACACCTCCTAAGGTTTGTTTAAAATACAGATTGGCCCCCTCTATGGTTTGAAAAATTACAGATCCTTATTAGAATTTTTTATTTAACAAAAATAATTAAAAAAATGAAATTCATAATTGCTCTCCTATACAATAATAAAATTATCTAAAATATTAATTGAAACATATTTTTAACATCATTAAAAATTATTAATTGACTTGATGATTTATTAATAAAATGGACGATTTGTTATGAAATTAGGAACCTCAGGGGGTGGGATGCAATTTTCAAAATCACATGGGCGATTTATATTTTAATTAAATCTCAAGGGTGTATTTCTAATTTATCCCTTATTAAATTGATATATACATATCTATTAGTACTTTTTTATAATAAAAATAAGAAATATAAACATGTTATTTGTTTTAATTTTTAAACTTGGGTAAAAATTGTATATATTTATGTATAAACTATTGTATGAATATTTATTATGTATGAAAGAACTATCTAAGATCTAGTCAGTTTGAACTATAAAATAAGTTCTAGTTCTAATTTTGGATCTCGTCTAAAAATTGATTGGTCAATTAATAAGCATTTGATAATAATAAATTTAAAATTTATATTTAAATTATATCATAGTTTGTTATGTTGTGGTGAATATGAGCTAAGTTTTTTTAGATGGGATATATGAGCTAATTTGAAAGTATCAATATTAGATTAAACTCTAAAAGCAGTATAGAAACTGAGTTCAAATTGATTTTTATGTTACTTCTTAGCTCAATTCCTATCACCTTTGGAGAATTGTCTAGTTCATTTCCAATCAAAGAATTATTTGGCCCAATTGTTTATTTAATTCTTAATATGGTAAGCATTTTTTGAATGTTAAATGTGCAGTAAATATTTTGCTGTCCAAGTTCCATCATGCTCAGCCCTTGCCTCTTTCAACTTGTCATTTTTTACCAGTTATACTGCTGCCTCATTTGCTGCTGGATCATCCCTAAATTTGAGCTGCTTGTTCAAGAATTGAGAATTTGAGTTTTGTTATGCATTACTAGGCATTCAAACTTTATAATAGAACCCTATAAAAACAAGTGCCCTGCACTATGAATGTATAAGATCATAGAGAAATATATGAACCCTAATTCAAGAGTTTAAGTCATTTAATTTGAGAATTCAAGAAAAGTGTGTGATTAAATGTAAGAAATGAAACTAAAATGAAGAATTTGGAGTCAATACTTGCATGTATGCATAATTTTGGCTAGTTTCATCAATTTGAGTTTGTTTCATGCTACTAAGGTATGAAATGAGAATCATATCACACATGCATCCATGAATTATGAAAATTTGAAGCTCAATTGCATGATTTTCAAGTCTAGGAAAAGAATTAAAGTCAAATTAGTACATGCATGGTGAATTCTCAAAGTTTTAAGCTTTAATTTTGCCAATTGAGTTAGTATCCATATTTTTGGTTGTGTATTTGAACATAAGAGTATGTCATGCATGAATTGTGGACCTTCAATATGTTTTTTGGAGTTCAAATTGCATTATGGAAATTCCAGAATCTGGTCATATCGCTCGAGCGCACTTTGCATGCTCTTAGTATTTTTGCAGGGATTAGCAGTTGGCTCGAGCGACCAAGTGTACGCTTGAGCAAACTCAGCTTTACATTGCATGTGGACCGAGCCTAGAATTTCTACATCCAAAAGTTTTACAGAGTTTTGTAGACCGCTCGAGTAACCAAAGTTTGTGCTGAACGAACTACCCTATTTTTAGCATTTTTGAAATACATTTCCAAATGCACACTTTCATCCTCTTACATCCATAGGCATTTTGAGGCTATTATTTGGACAATGATAATAAGGAAAAGAGTGAGAAACACACTAAGAGAGGACTGAATTAGATAAGACATAGTTTGGGGACGTGTGTTTCAATCCAGCTCTGTTATGTGTTTGTGTAGGTCACACGCTTCGTTCTACTCAGTTTGTCTAAGGAGCCATTTGTGAGTAACAACTCTTTAAAGCTATGCTTGATTACAAGTATTTTTCTGATTTACAATTTATATTATGTTTCTGAATTGATATTTTATGAATGAATGAATAATTGTCCATTTTCTAAAATGTAATTATGGTATTCTTAGCATCTATATCTGTTATCTGTTATCAGAGATCTTTGTGGGTTCCAACTCTTGGAACTGTTTGTTAAACCTTAATGGTTATTTGTCTGGATTATTCATAATCATTTGTCTGATCTGAATAGGTCTTATACGACCATTTGCTCTGTTAGCTAATGGATATACCACGTACGCATGATTACAAGTC